TGGTTCACTGAAGGGTCCTACTTACGAGGCCCTGCAGGAAATATCATGCAGGATATGCAGTTGTCTCCTTAGCAGAAATTATCGAATCTGTCCCACTCGCTGATGCCAGATCTGCTCAACAGACCTAACTGCAAGCACTTAATAGAGCTTGCAATTTAGCCAAAGACAAAACTGCAAATATTTAAACAGACAACCAATATGCTTTTGGGGTGGCACACAACTTTGGCATGCTTTGGAAACAAGAAGTTTTCTTACCTCAGCTGGACAAACTGTTAAAAACAAAAACTATGTTTTGGCACTGCTTGATGCCATTCAGGCCCCTAGAGCCTTAGCAATCATTAAAACTCAAGGTCACTCCTCAGGCCAAGATCAAGAGTCCTTAGGAAACAAAATGGCTGATATTGCTGCCAAGCCAGCTGCCTCCCAAAAGGTTGCTTCTATACTCCCACCTCCCCTGTCTCTCTTCAGCCTCCAAATCTGGATTTGCATCAAAGACTTGCTAAAATCACAAGCACTGTCTCTGGAGGAAGAAAGGGGGAAATGGGAGGGCCAAGGATGTTACTTTGATTTTGACCAACACCTTTGGAAGGGGCCTAATCAGTGGCTGGTTCTTCCTTGGAGTCTTCAAAAGGAAATTTTAACCTTCATTCTTGATCCAACCCATTGGAGCACTGATAAGATGATCCACTGGGCTAAACAATATTACTGGGGACCCTCACCTGCTGTTGCCCATCAGGTCTATCAATAATATAAAATCTGTCCCCAACATAATTCTGGTAAATCAGTACATGGAATACAGTGGCATTTTCCTCTTGCTGATGGTCCATTTGATGTATGGCAGATGGATTTTATTTAACTTCTCCCTTCTCAAGGTTATCCTTATGTTTTAGTTCTTTCACATTGGACTGAAGCCTTTCCATGCAGACAGGCCACCACCATGGTAGTAGCCAAAGTCTTACTGGAAAAAATTATTCCTACCTGGGGAGTTCCTCGAGAGCTTCATAGCAATCGCAGTACCCATTTCACAGGACAAATTATTCAAAATGTGTGCAAAATCTGGCCAATTTATCAGCATTTCCATTGTGCATACCATCCTCAGTCCTCTGGACTCGTGGAACGCACTAATGGTTTGTTAAAACTCAATCCGCAAAAATCTGCTCAGCTTTTACTTTGCCATGACCTAAAGCCTTGCCCCTGATATAGTTCAACCTCTGTTCTACCCCAACAGGTAAAAATAAACTTTCTCCTTTCGAGATCATCACTGGGTGACTGATGTGTTTGGATGAAGGACTTGATCAGCCAATCCTCTTACAAGGGGATCTTCTTCACTATTGTAAAGAACTGTCAAATCTCTTACAAGCCAGTATTAACTTGAAGATTTCTTTAACAGTGTGCTCCCAGGAGATGAAGAACACCCACATGATTTAAAGCCTGGCAACTTTGTATACTAGAAAACACATCAATTAAAGAACTCCCTCCAGCCTCCTCGCTAGGTACTTTTAACTAACCTATGTGCAACCAAATTACAAGGCATTGATTCACAGATACATGTTTCTCATCTGAAAAAGGCTACAGATACTACTTCTAAATGGATTGCTGAACCTGTCAGCAAGACGAGATTGAAACCAACCAGAACCAGAGCACCCCCTCGTGGCCAAGAAGCAGACAACATCTGAAGTAGACAGCTCACCCAAAACGCAGCATCAGGCCTGTACCCTTCCCAAATAAGTTTTGCCTAGCTATCTTGCCTATTCTTTTCTTTATACTATTGTGGCTTACATGGAAAAACAGTGCTATATAGTACAGTTCTCACAGTCTTTGGCTTCGGCTGGAAATTTAACCGAATGCTGGATATGCCACTTCCTTCCCTCTGGGTCGTTTTTCTGGGAGTAATGATCCCTTGGTTATTCCCATTACTAATTTTTCCTCATACCCAAGTATAAGGTTACCTTCAAATCCAAACCACCTAATTTCAGTTATTGAGTAAGGTTGGTTCCTTCCACCTCTGCAGCTCCCTGTTTTTTTTCTTGACTAAGCCTACATTTAGTCCTCTTCTCACGTCCTCAGATAAAGAAAATGACCCTGGCATCTACCCCTGTCAAGGCTTCAGTCATGGCACCACTTGGTCAGGATATTGTGAAAACTGAACTATTTTTCCCAGCCTATGTCCCTCCCATATTTAACAACTAAGTGTTTCAACCGGACTAATAAAGATCAAGACACTCCATTATGTACAAAGATGTAAGACAAGAAAAAACATATTCTCAAGGGTCACTCACACCTCTGCCTATTTGTAATTATACCAAAGAGACACTCACTTTGCCTCTTTCTGATCCATGGTTTCAAAATCTAACCACCTCATTACCTGTAAATGCCTCTATAAAGCTTACAGAATCTACTGGAATTTTACATGCTCTCTCTGGATATATCTTTGTTTGTGGACACAGGGGACAGGCATGGGCTTTCCCCTGTCTAGATTCCTGGCATATGGGAGGCACCTGTTTGGTTGGGTATTTAACCACACCATTTGTAATTTTACCATCTGATCCTTATTTTGCCTCTAGATCTCAGAAAAAAAGGGCTCTGTCTATTGTAGATGATTTTCCTGATGACAATCCTGCCGACTATGAAGAACAAACAGGTGCTTTCACTAGCAAGGGTGTGATTTACCAGAAGGAGTTAACCCTAGTCAAGGGGCCAGGTTAGGAGAATATTGGGATCCTGGGTGGGGATCAGTACAGCCTGGAATGAATACAAGACAAGAAACCTCTCCCAGACTATGAGTAGGATAGCTCGGTCTGCAGCCTGAGCCATCTGAGCCCAACAAAAATCTTTAGTTTCTCTGGCCCAGGTCATTCTGGATAATAAAATAGCTTTAGATTATTTGCTAGCTGCTCAAGGAGGAATATGTATTGTGGCTAACACCTCCTGTTGTACTTGGATCAATACTTCCGCTCAGGTAGAACTAGAAACTTCTAAAATTTTAAAATTAGCCAAATCCTTAAAAGGTCAACCCGTTCCTGGATCCCTTAATTGGTTTAATTTCCCGTTTTCCGACCTGTTCAGTTGGTTACCTGCTGGTTTGGGTTCACTACTGTGCTCAGGTGTTCAGGTTGTCATAATAATAATAATTATATACATGGGATTATGGATTATAATTAAAATAATAATGATGTGTATCTCACACTGCTTACATACCACACCTGCTAGAGTTATGCTAATGCAACAATTTGCTATGCTTAATTTATATATCCCGATGTATAATGAGATTCCTTCCTCCTTGAGAAACTGAATAGAGGATTTGTCATAATTGGCTCTGATGCTTCTGACATAAGCAGAGAGTAAGTTAAGTCCCACCATGGGGACTAGCTGCCACCTTGGCCTCAAAAATGGGACAATTAATCTAATTAAGCCCCATAATCGATCATCTGCACTGCCTATAGACAGGCATCAATCAAAAGGGGTAAATATTAAATGTTATTAAAAAAACTGGACTCTCGCCAACTGAGGCCTAAATTCTTTCCTGTTGACCCCACATCAGTTTTTCAGGAGAAATGGAAACTTGAGTAATGTATATGTAACCAGTAATCCTTAACTTGTGACATTTTGTTTTGCAACTGACCTTTTACCAATGCTCCTATTATGCCGATTATAAGATAAAGACAAAGACAGACTGACGCCAGTGGTCAGACCACCAGACCATGTCTGCAGACCCTATTTTTCATCAATGGTTACTACAGAATTTGGACTAAAGCCAACATCCTGCAGTTTCACCCTATATAAACTTTTCCCTATCCTTCCCCTTCAGACCACCCACTCAAGACCTCCTTGAGTCAGTGCTTCCCCAGCCTGCAGACTGTAACTGGATGAAATAAACTTCAACTTTCCTTGGACCTCTGACTGTTAGTGTTTTCTTCCAGGTTAACTCACTTAAATAAATAAATAATTACCCATTGTTTTGTGTACTGAGAAGGAAACAAACAGAATGCAAGGATAAAGAAAAGCAGAAGAGGGGAGACCTATTTTTGATAAGGTGGTCAGGGCAGTCTTTTCTAAGGAGGTGAAATTTAAGCTGAAACCTGAAGGATGAAAAGGGATCAGCTTTGTGAAGAAAAAAGGGGAGAATATCCAGGTAGAGGAAAAAACACATGCAAGAGACCTGAGGTAGGAAAGAGCCTTGCATACTTTAGAGTATAGAAATGACAATGTAGAATAAAACATGACAGCATACCCGTAGGCCAACCTTATAGACCCAAAATAAAAATCACAAAAGAGCTACAGTTTAGTGCTTAAAACCTCAGCCCAAATCCTACTTTCTGCCTCCTTTTCTTTCTGCTCGATTAAAAGGGCCAAGAGGAAATTTATCTCTTTCATATAGCCTAACAATGCTGGGTGCCTGAGAGCTCTGTTTTTAAAACAACACAAAACCACAAGACAAAAATTATCCAGACAGCAGTAAAATTCTAATGGGAATAAACCAGACATCAGTTAAGTCATGGAAAAATCTTAGTAGGCCAAGGTATTGTAACATCTTCTTGAAAAACTATAGATCTTAACTCAATACACCAAAACTTGGGCAATATAACCCCAACAAGCTCCAGCACGAACTCTGAATAGTTTATTTCTTGGTGATCCTTCCTTATGCTCTACCAGCTTAGTGATGTAGAGATCTAGTCCTGGCCATTGGATGGAAGATCCTCATGCCCCTCCCCCTCAGAAATCACTCATTTCTTCCTCTCTCACACCATAAAAGACAATGGCCACCATTTATAAGAGAACATATATATAAAATACAGTTTTTCCAATAGGCAACAAGTGTTCCTGATAATACCCTAGGTTTCAGTGAGAGCCCTAAAAGGGCTAATCTTAGGTCAGGATAGGTTTTAAACACTACAAAATAAAACAAGAATCTGATTTTTGCTCAGCCTTACTGCTCCTAGCTCAGTAGGTGCCTATAATCCTGTCTAAATTTCACTGCTCATAATCTATGGTATCTCTACCTGTCTTCTGCTAGAAGCCTCTCTCTGGTGCTTGGGTGGAAGATGCTCATGGCCATCCAGAAGCAAATCCTCTCGCCATCTTTCAGCTGTTCCAACAGATGGCTGCTGCCTGAAGTATAAGCTCTAAAAGATACAAAAGCACACAATAAATTGTGTGAGCAGTGACATAATGGTAGTGAAAATACTACAGGCTGCAGTGACAGCCCTGAGGTAATCTAAATAGGTAAGAATAGTCTGATACATTATGGCACAAAAGTAGACATTATACTTCTTACCACTACCATGGATCTTAACTATATCCACAAAGCAATTACAAGTTTTCATCTGTAAAACAAGGATAATAATAGTATCTATCTCCCAGGATTATTGTGAGAATTAAATGAGACAATAGATACAAAGTTCCAGAACCATTTTGGCTATGGTAAGTGCTTAATGAATGTAAGTTGTTATTCATAATAATATTAATAATATTATTGATAGTATTAATAAGAGATAATACTATCATCACCATCATTATTATTGTTAGTAGCACAGCTCTGGCAAGCCCAGATCAAACTCGAACTAATTTACTTTCTGTTGCTTACTCTTTACTCTGTTCTACCTGCTCTCTGGCAAAGTCTGGATCCTGAATTTCATGTAAAACATATTCACGGCATTCTGGAAGTAACTCCTTTCTCCATCTCTCATCTGTCATTTTATGAGAGGCCTGCTCATGGTTTCTGTGCTAAAAGACAACATAAACATTGAACATCAATTGCCCAAGCAGAAGCATCATGCCAGGGCAATAGTAAAAGCTTCAGTAAAGAAGCCGGAAGTAGTCTCAATAGGTCAGAATGGTGTGATACATCACAGAACAAAAGGACATTATATCTTTGCCCATTATTATTGACCTTAACACTAAACCCCTGAAGCAGTTACTACAGTGCCCTGTCAACCTTGAGCCAAAACCTAAGCAATTTACTCTCTGCTACTTAATCCTCCCAATATCCTGCTCTACTTATTCTCTGGGAGAGGCTAGGTCTTAAATACTGGGTCAAACATACCAATGGCACTCCAGAAGCAATTCCTCTTTCAATCTCCCATTTCTCAAAAGATGAGGGTTGCTTGATAAACTTGTTCTAAAGGAAGAACAAAATACAAAACTAATTATCTAAGCAGAAATGATGGGATGGTGACAATAATGTAGACTTTAGTGACAACCCCAGTATGATACTAGGGGAGGATAACATAACACAGGGGGTGTGTGTGTGCACACGCACGTGTGTCTAATATGAAATTTCCAAACATACAACAAAGTAGAATAAAAAAATAGTATAATAAATCCCAAGATACTCATAACCCAGCTCCAACAATTAGCAAAATTTTGTTTTTTCATCTGTTTCTTCTCCCACTTTTTTCCTGGAGTATTTTAAAGCAAATCTCAGATTATTCTGGCACTTTTTTTTTTCGCATGGGGCAATTCTTTATTCAACAATACATCTGAAAGAAGATAAGGCAACAAGGCATTATTTTTATAATGTTACTAGCATTTTCCCAAGGTAAAGCCAACAAGCTGGTGTCATTTCCACAAGTACTCCTATTTGGTGTTCCCAATAACTCCATGCACGAACATAAGGGTGGTGAAGTTCAGGAAGTTTTAAGGCGGCAAACAGCTTGTTTTGTCCTTCATCGTAATTGGTTTGCAAACTGGATGTCTGGTTTTATTGTACTGCTTCAGCTGACCAAAAATATAATCCCGTCAGTATTTACAAGACTAAATGTATAAGGCCAAATATGCTCAAGGACTTGAGTTTAAGAAGAACGATTTACTGTTAACCAATCAACATCATATAAAACCTGTCTCTGGTTTAACCCAAATGACAGAGGTATGCTTTCTCATCTGGACTCTTTAGAACTGGCACATTTTGAAATAACTGAAGACGTTATACTCTCAGCCTAACTCTAGAAGCCTTAATTCTATGTATCCTACATACAAGCTAGCATGACAAGCTTCAGCCCAAATCTTAAGTAATTTTGTCTCTGTCACTCTTTTAGAAAGTAGACAGTCCTCCCACTGTATTCTGCTCTACCTGTTCTCTAGAGGAGGCTTGGTCCTGGATTTTAGGTTTAACATACTGATGATGCTCCAGAGGCAATTCATCTCTCACTCCGTCTTCTCTCATAAAAGATGATGGTTGCTTAGGAAACGTGTTCTAAAGGAACAACAAAAACAGAAAACAAATTGTCTAACCAGGGCAAAATGCCAATCATAATACCGTAGGCTTCAGTAAGAACTCTAAGGAAATGATACCAGGTGAGGATATTCTGATACATCTTGATTTGCATGAGGATGTTACACTGTTAGCCCAACTCTGTAGACCTTAATTTTTAATCCCAAACCATGTACAGAATAGTCTGACAAACTCCCCAAATTTTTAGTAATTTAGGATCTGCTACTTCTTCCTACATTGTTCATACAGGGGCAATATGCTTATGGTAATATTGTAGGCTTAAGCAAAAGTTGTAGCATAATCTTAGCAAATTAAAATAGTCTAGCTGATTCTACGATAAAAATGTGAATGTGATTTATCAGCCTTCTAAATGACAGAACTAATTGGATTGGTACAGTTCACTAGACCAAGGTCTTTTGCACCTGATTCTACACTTCATATTACCAGTTGTTGAGAATGTATAAAATCCAGTTACTTTATTTCCTATCTCTTTATTTATTTATTTATTTATTTGCTGAGGAAGATTCACCCTGAGCCAACATCTGTTGCCAATCTTCCTCCTTTTTTGCTTGAAGAAGATTAGCCCTAAGCTAACATCCATGCCAATCTTCTTCTATTTTGTATATGGGTTGCCACCACAGCATGGCTGACAAGTGGTGTAGGTCCACACCCGGGATCCAAACCTACAAACCCGGGCTGCCTAAGCAGAGCATGCTAAACTTAACCACAACACCATAGGGCCAGCCCCCTCTCTCTTTTTATTCTGCTCTACCTGATCTCTGATGAAGGCCTGGTCCTGGAGTTTAGGAGGCAGATACTGATAACCTGCCAGAGAAAAGTCTTCTCTCCCTTTCTCATTTGTCATATCAGAATATGGCTCCTTGAAGCGTACTTTCTAAAAGAGAAAAAACCACAAACTGTAAATCATCCAGTAGGAGTAATATCATAGCAATAATATTCCAGACTTCGTTGAGAGCCTTACGGTAATTTTTGTGTGTGTGTGTGGGGAAGATTAGCCCTGAGCTAACACCTGTTGCCAATCCTCCTCTTTTTTGCTGAGGAAGATTGGCCCTGGGCTAACATCTGTGTCCATCTTCCTCTACTTTATGTGGGATGCCTGCTACAGTGTGGCTCGACGAGCAGTGTGTAGGTCTACACCCAGGATCCGAACCTACGAACCCTGGGCCGCCAGAAGCAGAGCACACGAACTTAACCACTATGCCACCAGGCTGGCCCCTTACAGTAATTTTTTTAACTCAGAATAATGTGAAATATTATAGAATAAAACAGAAAACCATATTTTTTGTCAGTTCTAAAGTCTAGCTGAAAAAAAAAATAAAGTCTAGCTGAGAATAATCTTTGCAAGCTCCAAACTAAACCTTAAACAATTAATTTCTACTGGTCTCTCTCCTTTTTCTGTTCTACCTTGCCCCTGATGGAGGCCTGATCTTGATGCCTGTGTAGAAGATCCTGATGGACATCCAGAGGAAACGCCTCTCTCCCTCTCCTACCTATCAAAATTGATGCTGGCTGCTTCAAATTTGCTTTCTAAAAAAGAACAAACACAAAATATCAATTGTTCAGTTAAGAAAAACAGATTAACCAATAATACTTTAGGCTGTAGTGAGACTTCTGGAGTTAACTGAGGTCAGAGTATAATTGTACATCTTATGGAATAAAACAAAACATTATACTCTATTCCACATAAGCCCAGCCACAACTCTAAGTAATTTACTTCCTGTTTATCCCTTTCTTCTTCCTTTTGGTCTAACTGATCTCTGGTGGAGGGCTGGCCTTGGAGCCCGGATAAAAGATACTGTTGGACACTTGTGAGGCACTCCTTTCTCCATCTTTCAGCTGTGAAAGCAGATGATGGCTGCCAGAAATAGTTTTCCTAATGAAGAAGGTTAAATAAAAAGTAAATTGTCCAGATAGGGGTAATATGCTGCTGGTACTACTATAACACTTAATGAGAACCCTGCAGTTTTGAGAAATCAATCAAGAGACTATTTTTTCAAACTATGGGCCTCCAAATCAGCTGCAATTTAGTCCTTGCAAATTCCACTCCAAACATTAAGTAGCTTATTTCTTCTTGTTATATCTCCTTTCCACTCTATTTTACCTGATCTCTGGATAGAAAACCCTGGTCTTTGGGTAGAAAATCTTGGTCCTGACATGTAGGCAGAATATTCTGGTCTTCGGGGAGAACACGCTGATCACTGGGGAGAACACACTGGTCTTTGGGTAGAAAATACTGGTCTTGACATTTGGATAGAATATTATCTTCGGAGAGAATACGCTGGTTTTTGGGTAGAAAATCCTGATGCTGGTCTTTCAGCAGAACATCTTGGTCCTGACATTTGGGTTGAATATTCTGGTCTTTGGGGAGAACATGTTGGTCTTTGGGTAGAAAAGCCTGGTCCTGACATGTGGGTAGAATATTCTGGTCTTTGGGGAGAACACGCTCATCTCGACATTTGAGTAGAATATTCTGGTCTTCGGGTAGAGAATCATGGTCCTGACGTTTGGGTAGAATATTCTGGTCTTTGGGAATAAAATCCTGGTCTTTACATAGAAAATGCTGGTCCTGACATTTGGGTAGAATATTCTGGTCTTTGGGGAGAAAAGCCCGATTTCGGGGTTGAAAATCCTGGACTTCCAATGCAATACTCCGATCTTCTGGTTCAATACTCTGGGCTTCCAGCATAATACTCTGAGTTTCTGTCTTAACAACCTGGGCTTCAGGCTCAGTGGCCTGGGCTTTGGGCTCAATGGCTTGGGCTTCCAACTCAATAGACTGGGTATCTGGCTCAATACTCTGGGCTTCCAGCTCAATATTCTGGGTTCCAGTCAAATCACCCTGGGTTTCCAGCAGATCACCTTGGGCTTCTGGAAGATAATCCTGGGTTTCTGGCAGAATATCCTGAATGCCCCGAAGATGCAACTGCTTTAGCTCTTCCTCTTCCACCACAGCAAATAATGGATTTTTGAATTGTACTTTCTAAAAGTGAACATAAACATCAAATACAGAATGCCATGTAGTAGCAATGCTCTAGATTTTCCACAAGATTCCTAAAATAATCTTAAAAGGATATGGTAGTCAGACAAATTACTAAAATAAAATGTGAAATTATAGTCTTTGATCAACTTAATAGAACCTAAATCTACAATCCCACACCAGTACAACAGTACTGGCATCCCTAGTCCAAATCATAATTAGTTTAATTTCTATTATACTATCTCCTTTTACTCTGCTTTACCTGAACTCTGATGAAAGGTTTGTCCTTGTCTTCATAAAGGAGATCCTGCTGGTCTCCCCAAAACAAATTCTCTCTCCCTTTCTCGTCTATCATAATAGATGAAGATTCCTCAGAGTCAGGTTCCTAAAGAACACACAAATAAAAATGAAAAAACAAAAACAAAAAACCAAATGTATCTATTACAGGTAGAAACAATGTGATTGCAATAAAATCCTAGGCTTCAGCACACTACTAATATAATTTTAGTAGTTCAGTACAGTCAAATATTATAAAAGCAGGACATTACGAAAGAAGTGCAAGACTACACACTGAAAACTATAAAACATTATTGAAAGACATTAAAGAAGATCTAAATAAATGGAAAGACATCACATGTTCATGGATCTCAGAAGACGATATTGTTAAGAGAGCAATAAACCCTCATATTACAGTCAATTGATTTTCAACAAGGGTGCCAGGACAATTCAATGAAGAAAGAATCGTTTTTTCAGCAAATAGTGTTGGGACAAGTGGACATCCACATGCAAAACAATTAGGTTAGAACACTTCCTCACACCATATATAAAAATTAACTCAAAATGGATCACAGACCTAAACTGAAGAGCTAAAATTATAAACTTCTTAGAACACCACAAAGAGGAAATCTTCATGACCTTACATTAAGCAATGGTTTATTAGATACTACACCAAGAGCACAAGCAACAGAAGAAAAAAATAGATAAATTGGACTACACCAAAATTAAATATTTTGTGCTGCAAATGATAGCATTAAGAAAGTGAAATGACAACCCATAGAATGGGAGAATATATTTGCAAATCATATATCTGATAAGCGACTTGTATCCAGAATATACAAAGAACTCCTACAACTCAATAATAAAAAAACAAATAACCCAATTAAAAAACGGGCATCACATTTGAATAGACATTTTCTCCACAAGAAATATATGAATGGGCAATAAGAACACGAAAAAATATTCAAGAGCATTAATTATCAGGAAAACACAAATCAAAAGTACAGCAAGATACCACTTCACATCTACTAGGATAGCTATAATCAAAAAGATGCACAATAACAAGTATTGGAGAGGATGTAAAGAAACTAAAACCCTCATATATTGCTGATGGAAAAGAGCTTGGCAGTTCCTCAAAATATTAAAAACAGAGTTACCATATGACCCAGGAATTCCATTACTAGAGAAATGAATGTCCACACAAAAACATGACACAACTGCTCATAGCACAATTATTTGTAAAAGCCAAGAAGTGGAAACAACCCAAATATCCACCAACTGACAAATGGATATACCAGATGTGATATAGCCATATAATGGAATATTACTCAGCAGTAAAAAGGAATGAAGTAATGATACATGCTACAATGTGGATGAACTCTGAAAACATGCAAAGTGAAAGAAGCCAGTGACAAAAGACCACATATTATATGATTCCATTTTAATGAAATGTCCAGAATAAGCAAATTTATAGAGACAAAAAGTAGATAGTGGTTGCTTAGGACCAGGGGTAGGGACAGGCAGGGAATGGGGAGTGAAAGCTAACAGGTACAGGGTTTCTTTTAGGGGTAAAGAACACATTCTAAATTAGACTGTGGTGACAGTGGCACAACACTATGAATACACTCAAAACCAGTGAATTGCACACTTTAAATGGGTGAATTGTGTGGTATGTGAATTATATCTCAATAAAACTGTTAAAAAAAAAAACCAATACTAGACATTACAATCTTAACCCTTAAGCCCATTCTTAATAAGCTGAGGATAGTTCTAACAAGCCTTTATTTTTTTCCCCTCTACTCTGTATTTCCCTACCCAATTTTCTATAAATTTCTGGTAATGTACAGTATTTAAAAGATAAAGGGTAATTCTCCTCTTGTTCCTATATTTACCCTGAAGAATGCTGGTTTCCTACAATGTGCTTTCTGGAAAAAAAAAGAAAAATCAATACAAATATAAATGGTCTAGAGAAAGCAATATGCTCACAATACTAAGTTGAGTTTTTGTGAAAGATCTGAAGTGATCTTAGCAGGTTATGGTAGTCTAATATAGAAGAAAGGGAAACAAATACGTGTTCTACTTCAAATGTACAAAGAAATCACTCACATATCAAACATATGGAGTGAAATAGGCTAGTAGGAGACTATATTAACTTCATAAATGACAATTTGCCCCTCTCCTAGCCAGTAAGAATTTAAGACGGTTTATGATTTTGTCTTGGTGACCTGACAGCAGGCAAGTAAGTATATCTTCTATTTGTATCTCCAAATCTGGAACAACAATAACAACCAGACAGATTCCAGTGTCAGTAAAAATAAGTCTAACAACGAAATGAAACCAGAGTTCAAGTGGGTTATAGATTGTTCTCCTTTCTGATCAGCAGATTCCCACTTCATACAACCAAGGAGGTAGAAAACTGTTCAGATTTGAGGGAAAGACTACATACTTGATATAAATTATAAGAAAAATTTCACTAATTTCTTAGATCATTCTGAATTATACAGAGTTTAAAGAAACTCCTGAAAAATACACATGCACTCGTTGGAAGCAAGCAGCCAGCCTGAATTCATCATCATCATCATCATAACAATAATAAATTACACTTAAATGGCATCTCTGACGTGTAAAACTGGTTTCTACAAGGATGTTATCTTAGACTTAATTCTCCTTCCTTCTATTGGATTTTTATTTCAGTCGGACCTGGGAACAGTACTCTTTCTGGAAAAACATCAGTTGAAAGGTTTGAACATGTTCCACACAATACAAAGTCTCCAGGATCTGCTAACCCTTTTTTTTTCTGGTTTATTAGAATGTGTCTAATCATCTCATTCTAACAATACCCTGAGGTCAGTCTAATGGCCCGAACTATAGTACTGCCAAATCCATGGTAGGTATGAAAACTGTCAAGATACCAAAACTGTCAAGATACCAACTGTCAAGAGAAGAATGTAAGTACAAAAGAAACTCTACCTTGAGAGTCACAACAAGGCAATGCCAGAAAAAGGTAACCATATAAATGCATCTAGGATGGAATGCCATATGTGGACATATACCAATGCCCACTTGTTTTTTTTGTACTTAACTATAAATTTCTCAATTATCACTGAAGAGGGAGACATTAAGTTTAGTATTCTACCAACAGCAAACATGTAAGACACAAATGTTTTTGATTGTTGTGTTGAGATACTTAAGGAAAAAATACAAAAATACAACATATATATATAATTTAGGAAAATGTAAAAGAATACCAATAAGGAAGCAAAACTGAGAAAGAACTAAATAAGAGACAGAGTTGATGATGGCAAAAATTAAATAAATAAATAATAGAGTGAAAAAGACTAATGGTCTATTTTACTGCATGCTGCCTATCAAAAATTGAAATTAATGTCAAAATTAGGTAAACACAGGAAAATATATGAGTTTAGCATCCAAATTTGTGAACACTGAAATAAGTAGGCAGCAAAACAGTGTCATTTTACAAATATAAGTCTTAAAAGTCGTTTTAAGTCTAGCTCCACATTTAGGTTCCAATTTTCCACTCTAACCTTATATTTTGAATCAAAAGAATTTCTTTCTAAAAAATAATGGCATTGATTTTTTCCTGATTAGAAAGTAAAATATGGGCCGGCCCCGTGGCTTAGTGGTTAAGTGCGCGCGCTCCGCTGCTGGCGGCCCGGGTTCGGATCCCGGGCGCGCACCGACGCACAGCTTCTCCGGCCATGCTGAGGCCGCGTCCCACATACAGCAACTAGAAGGATGTGCAGCTATGACATACAACTATCTACTGGGGCTTTGGGGGAAAAAATAAATAAATAAAATTATAAAAAAAAAAAAAAAAAGAAAGTAAAATATATACATTATGTAAACATTTTTAAAGTAAAGAAAACCAAAAGAAGAAAATTAAAATCACCTGTACTAACACTAACCGGAAATCGTCAGTATTAACCGCTTGGTCCATTTCTTTCCAGGCTTTTGTCTATGCACATAACATTCTCTCCTTACCTCTTTATTTTGCTTTACTTTTTCACAGCACTTATCATTTGAAATTATATTCTATATTTACTGGCTTGTTTATTATATGCTTCCCTACAGCACAGAAACTCCTTGAGAGATCTTTGTCTATCTTTTCACCACTGTAAGTACTGCTTCTAGAACAATGCCTGACAACTGCAGACATTCCATAACACTTGTTGAATTTTTTTTAATTGAGATTACATTATACATAATTCTGTATCCTACTTTTTTCACTAAACTTTATATCACAGACACTTTCTCTTGTCTTCAGATATTCTTTGAAAGCATGATATTTTTTAGAATGGATTTATCAATTTCTTAACCATTCCCTACTATTGGATATTTAAGGTTATTTCAATTATTTTACAGTTCTAAATAATTTTGAGATGTAAATAAATCTTAATCTGTATTTTTTATCTGTGTTTTTAAAAACAATTTATTAGAAATTAATTTACCTCTTGCATGGGAAAGCTTTTCCTTTTACCATCTGGAAACACTGATGCATTTTTTTTACTCACAATTTTAAAGGATGCCAACTGGTGACGTGCCTGCTTCGTGGTTTGACTAAGCTGCCAGGGAAAGTGGGAAAAAAAAACAAACAAAAACAGGCTAAAGTCTTAATACCAAATTCACTAAGTGTTCCAACAGGAAAACAGGCCCTTATTATTAAAAAATGCCAGACCCAAGACAAGAGGATTACTTACAAAGGAGACATTGATCTGATAGTGTTTTTACAACATTATTTTCATTATTCTAAGAGACTGCATTTCATAACTTGATTTAAGTGCTGTTACTCAAATCATTTTTAATAATGTATGCTTTATATTAATTATGTACACAAAAATATCAGAACCTAAAAGTTTGAATTAATACACTTGGAAATTATTGAGCAGACACATTCCTTACCTTCCATCCATCTTCTCAATAAGGAGTTATTTCTTCAACTGGTCCTTGCATGCCTAATCACTTTTATCACTCCTCGCTGGAAGACTCTATTCCTAGTCCCCCTAAAATCCTTTTTCCCATTTATACGAATCCCTTATTCACCCCTAACATTTGAAGACTGTAGGTATTCAAAGTCTTTTCTCAACTCTCCCTTTGTCCCAGAAGCATTCCCAAGTTAACCTAGAACACAAACTCAAACATCTCAACAGAACCAATTTGTTTCAAGTACTATAAGTAACAGCTGATAACGAGCATTAGTATTAAATATGTTGACTTTGTGTTCATTCCTTATCTATCCCTAGTAATTTCAGTAAGCACCTATTTTGATTTCTTTTTCAGAGAAGCACAGTCTATTTTATATTTCAAAAATCTGCATAGAAAGTTCCTTCAAGGAAAATACAGAAATGAATAAAGTATCATTTTTAGGCTGAGCACTACATCTTCTGGAAGAAACATATCCCTACAACTCAGCGAAATTCTGGCAAAGCCAGGACCAGTTCTAATCTATCCAGTGAAAATTTAACAACATCAATTCTCCCTTGAAGGGAAATCATGCCTATAATTTATAGATATAAATAAATATTTTATGATTTTCACTAATAGTGACCTAGAGATAAAAACACACTCTCTCTCTACAACTCGCCCAGTTTCCTTACAGCATATCACTTCTCTTTTGTCCTTGCTTCTAGAAGGTGTATACTTCTAGCCAGAGAAATCAGCTTGAAACATTACTCCTTCTTCCAGTAACAGGAGGATTTCTAAATTTGGTTAGCTGCAGAGTGGCTACAGGAGTCAAGACAGAGTTAATCACAATGCAATAAGAGATATATGTGCAGTTGAGGCTGTGAAAAAAAAAATACAGAGCGGGGCCGGCGCGGTGGTGCAGCGGTTAAGTGTGCACGCTCCACTGTGGTGGCCTGGGGTTCGCAGGTTCAGATCCTGAGCGCACACCAATGCACCACTTGTTAAGCCATGCTGTGGCGGCGTCCCATATAAAGTAGAGGAGGATGGGCACGGATGTTAGGCCAGGGCCAATCTTCCTCAAGAAAAAAGGGGAGGATTAGCATCAGATGTTAGCTCAGGGCTAGTCCTCCTCACAAAAAAAAATACAGAGCTATGAATATGCCTGCTTTTACTCATTGCCAAGTATGGTAAACACTATTGGCCTGCACCATGTGACCAAGGATTCAAAATCTGTTGTAACAGATTTAAAATAAGGGTACATAATCTTCATTTCCCATCAAGTCCAAACCTCTATTGAAGTCATAGATTGATTTTAGCCCCTTAAGAAGGATATTTCAACTGGTCCAGCAGTTGGAATATACATTATATTCATTCTATTTCTCTGTCATTACCATAACCCTTCACCAAACCTCAACCCAAAGGCCCTTTCAGTGACCTGCTATGAGGACTGTAGTGGATTGAACAATGGCCACCCAAAGATACCAGGTCCTAATCCCTGAAATCCGTAAATTCTACTTTATAAGGAAAAAGGGCACTTGCAGATATGATTAAGTTAAGGATCTTGAGACGAGGAGACAATCCTGGATTATCCACATGGGTCCTAAATGCCATCACAAGTAGAAAGCTGGGATAACCCATGCTAGAAAAGAAATAGTGTTGAACTTAATTGTCCATAGATAAATAGAAAGTTATTATATGGTGAGAATGAAACAATGATCAGTTGTTCTTCAATTCCCCACCAAAATGAAGTTATCAAGGGACATCATAGAAACTCAATCCCAAGAGATAAATATCAGTCCTAACAAAAAGCAGGGAGCTAGGCTAGTTCGATTTTATGTGACCACTTGAAATTTCTTCCAGTTCTATGATTCTAGTTTCTAACTCTAGGTACCCAATCTTATCTGATATTAGAACAAGTAGGTAATATCAACTATTGTAAGTGGAAGATGAGGTGGGGTTGTAGCATAAGAGAAGTCCCAGCAAAATCACATTTGGAACACAGTATTGTGTTCAGCTGTGAGGGTCATATTTGAAAACAGCATTGAAAACTAAATAGCATTTGGAAAAAATCAACTAAGATTGTAATCTGGAAATTATGTTATATGAAAAATGACTAAAGGCATTAGGAATGTAGTAACCCCAAAAAAGAAAAATAGTGATAATTAAATACTTGAAGTGTTCTTAGAGATGACCACTGTATTTTATTCTCTGTTACTTCATAGTGCAAAACTAGGACCAATGGGTAAGTTATAAGGAGGAAGATTTTGACTTAATACATTGAAAAAATAGTTCTAATAATTTCAAGCCCCTAAAAATGAAATGAACAGTCTGAAAAAGTAATGAGTTGCCCAACAGTGGAAGTGTTCTAGCAGAAACTAGATGGCCATATGTATGTATTAGAGATGTTATAAAAATATCTCTAATATATATAACTGGAAAACAGTATAGAGGTTCCTGAAAAAACTAAAAATAGAACTACCACATGATCCACCAATTCTACTGTTGAGTATTTATCCAAAGACAACAAAAATACTAATTTGAAAAGATATCTGCACCCCCAGGTTCATTGCAGCTTTATTTACAATAGCCAAGATATGGAAACAACCTAAGTGTCCATCGATAGATGAATGCATAAAGAAAATATGGTATATACATATACATAATGGAATACTATTCAGCCTTAAAAACAGACTGAAATCTTGCCATTTGCAACAATGTGGATGGACCTCGAGGGCATTATGCTAAGTGAAATAAGTCAAAAAGAGAAAGACAAATACTGTATGATCTCACTTATATGTGAAATCTAAAAAACAAAACAAACCAACAAACAAAAAACTAAGCTCAGAGATGCAGAGAACAGATTGGTGGTTGCCAGGGGGAATGGGGGGCATGGCGGGGAGGTGGGCAAAATGGGTGAAGGGGGTCAAAAGGTACACACTTCCAGCTATAAAATAAATAAATCATGGGAATGTAATGTACAGCATGGTGACTACAGTTAATAATACTGTACTGCATATTTAAAAGTTGCTTAGAGAGTAAATCTTAAAAGTCCTCATCACAAGGAAAAAAAAAAAACAAAATTTTTGTAACTATGCACAGTGACAGATGGTAATTAGACTTATTGTGGTGATCATTTTGCAATGTATACGAATATTGAAGCATTATGTTGTACACTTGAAACTAATATAACGTTTTAGGTCAATTATACCTCAATTAAAAAAAAATTCCTTAGAGAGAGAGAGGTTAGATTAGATAATGTGTCTTCTAACATTTAATCAAAAATGTAAATAAATTCAAACATATTGGAAACTTCAAATATATTTAGAAGTAGACAGAATACTATAACGAACCCCATAACCATCAGCCAGCTTTAACATTATCACTCCTGGCCAATCTTGCTCCATCTATAACCCCCCACTTCACCTCACTCTTATATTATTTTGAAGCATATCCTAGACGTCAAATCATTTCATCCTTAAATACTTCAATATGTCAGATGAACTTTTAAAACTATTTCAACTCCAAGATTCTATGCTTCTATAGCTCCAAAACACAAGAAAATTGAAAAGTCCACTAACATTCAGAAAGTGAATCACCTTCACCATTTACTCAACCAGTTCTAGATAAACCAAGTGAGTTAGTGTTTGATCACTGTCTCATTGTCTAATTCTTAGTGACATCTAGTGGATAAAAACTACAACAGAAAAGCATCTATCGTCATGGCATTGTACGGGCAAAAGTTTAGAGGCTCAAAGTAGTTTGTCACTGAACATTCTTCAGTAGTTCTGTTATTCCCCTCTATAAACCACACTCATTACATATTCTAGGCTTTTAACTGTTCCTACTATCTCAAAATTCTCTTGAATTTACCAATTCAATCCAGCTTACCAATTCAAAATATACAGCTCAATTCCACCTCTTCCATGAATTCTTCCCCAACTATTTCCTTAGAATTTAAAAATTTTTGAACTCCCATATTTTATCACCAAATAAAGCAAATATCTCTATATTATTATCTAATAGATTGGGGGTCTATTAGCTTTGTATCTCTATTTGGAAATATAAACCCACAGAAGGTCCTATTAACATTTCATTAGTATCCCCACAATGTTTAATTTATTAAACACAGTATATTCAAATATCTGCGGACTGAAGAGTTCTACTCATGTATTATACAGATGAAGTAAAATCCTCACTACAGTGAGAATTATAGCTACAAGCACCACGCAGACAAGAACCATGTCTCTCTTAGTCAGTGTTCTATTCCTTTTACTTTATGCAGTACCTGGCTCAATAAACATTTGCTAAACAAATTGTTCAGTCTTAAAAAAGAAAACAAAAAAAGATTATAAAAATGATTGCTATAAAGCAAACAATGACAAGAAAACGTCACAGTTCTGTCAACATAACACGTGCTTCTAAAGCTTTCTCTATTGATACTAGCAGCACAATCAGATTTGCTTCATACTTATGACCAAGCATGTTAGCTTAGGCAGTCATACGACTTTTATTTTCATATAATCATCATTTTCCACATTTTTGCCCGCATCTCACTATCCCTAGGAATACATTTTTAAATGATAAGATGAAGAATAATTCCCAAAGTAGAGGTAAAGAATGTGATAGCAACTGGACAAAAGCTCAGGTACACTAAGAAGGGAGCAGATCGGATGGCATCAAGTGATTTGAGTGGATGAGTCTATTCATGGTGGTTAATTTTTAAATATCAGGTATATAAAATGTATCACTAAATAAAAGATACATTTTTCAAAAGACTCTGAATATGTTAATTGAGAGTTTACTCTATCATTACTTGATCTATAGATCTATTAATTGTGATAATCAGATTAAAGGTTAGAAAAAAAGAAAAATAGAGACAAAAATAATGACTGAAATACCCCATATATGTACTGAACCTCTTTGCAATACAGGTTAGGAATCACTTCTGTCCATATGCTACAAACTGATGGTAACTCATCCATAACATAGTTCCAGTATAAGTGGGAAAATCTATGTTCTTTGACCTAAAGCTCTTTCTAATAAGTTTTGAACTCTAACACCTTGGCATCTTTCTTTAGATGATTCTAAAGTGTCCTATCAAAAATAAATAAATATAAATTTAAAACATATATATAAATAAACATCATCCCACCATTCCCCACTTTACAAAGGTAAAAAAGGAGGTAATAAAAAGCGAAATTGAATGTGATACCTCCTAATCTCTACTCCATATCCTAGATATGTCATATATCTAAAAAAATCATAGACATAAAATAAAATGAATATGTACTTACAGCCTGGGCTTGTTGTTGGAATAATTCATTCTGATTCTCTCTGTCCTCTATTCCATCCCCAAGTATCTCAGACGGGGGTAACCTAGCACTTCCAATAGCAGCATTCAAATTGTTTGGAAAAATGCTTGTTCTTTTAGGAGTTAAGTGTGCTGGATCTGAAGACTGCATGGCTATAGAGCTTTCTTTTTCTGCCTACACAAAGGAGGGAAGAGTGAGATTCTTCTGGTGAGATTCTACTCAAATCCAATGCAATCAAATAATGCCTCTAAGCAGCCCAAAAGATTTTAAATCAGGACCAAGGGGAAGGAGGGGGAAGCTTTAGCTGGCAAAAGAACTAACATTTACCAGGCACCTACTATGTGCTAATAATTTACATTTTCTCATCTAATTCTCACAACAATCTTATGAGACAAGTATCATATTCCCATTTCATAGGTGAAGAAACTACGGTCCAGAGAAGTTAAGTAATTAGCCAAAGGTCACATAGTTAGTAAAACAGCATAAGCTGGAATTCAAACCCAAGTCTGAATCCAAAACTCTGACACTGTTTTTAACTATTTAATGAAAGCAAAGAATGAGTCAGAACAATACAGAAATGAAACATGGTTTCTCTACGCCCTCTCTAGTAAATGAGATTATACAAAGCACAGAATCAAAAGAAAGTGATTCTGTTACTACCTAATAGCTTATCTCATAACACACGCACTTTCCATTCAGTCTTTACTCAGGCTAACTTTTGAACTTACTGCTTCGTAAGACTTCTGCAGCTGTTGCTTTTTTCTCAGCCTAATTTGTTGATTTACTCGGCGTTTGACTTGTCTCTGAAAATGCTTCAAAGCTTCTTGTTTTTTTCTTAGCTGTTCCTTTAGTTCTTCTTCAATCATATATGCTGAAGTCTTCAAAGACAAAAGATAGAAAATGAACTTAAATGTCAGCAGTTTTGCCCATTAGGGCTCTGTTATAAACACAAAGCAGTCAGGAAATAATCCTGAAAAATAATTAAGTCTATAATCCAAAATTCCCAGTAGAGTAAGGAAATCACAGGAGTTCAGAGCCCATAATCTAGACACAGCTAGTGAGTACCAAAAACTTAAACCAAATGACAAACTAAAAATTGAGATTTGTGAGTACTCAAATCAAATCTTAATTTTTCATTGAACTGAGAACCAAAGGTACCTTCATTAATTCTTAATGAATCAATTCATCAATTCAAATCTATCTTTTGTTACACATTTTCTAAAATGAGTAAAACAGTCCAGACACACCAGATTGCTCACCACTCACCAAATATGTCCTATTATAAAATGCCTTGATACTCAGAATTATGCTCCATTTTTAACCTAGCATGCTCTTCCTGTCACCTCCACCTGGTAAGGGCCTACTCAGTTTTCAAGATCATCTAATACCCACTTCCTAGTACCTTCCACAATCCTTTCTTCCTCTGCGCTCTCTTATGCTATGGTACCTCTCATTAACATTAATTGAGTACAGTATTTCTTGACTCTTCCATTATATTATGAACTCTTTGAGGGCAGGAAATGCATTTCATTCTCCTTTCTTTCCCCTATAGTATATAACACAGAGCCTTAAATATAAAGGTGCTCAATATTTATGTAATGCTCAATTCTAAAACATATTCTAAACAATCTGGAACATTTTATCCCATTTGAGTATTTACCTCCTCTAAGTGCTTTGAATAACAATCATAGTCACCATAATAACAGCAGTCACCATCATTAAAGATCTATTACAAGACAAGCACTTTAACTACATTATATCACTGAAACCTCAAAACTACCTCTGATAGCAGGTATTCTAATTTTTAACGTTACAGATGAGGAAACTGGGGCTCAGAAAGATTAAATAATCTTTAGTATCCTCTAGCTGGCAAGTAGCAGAGCTAGAAGTTTCTCTGATTCCAACACATGCCCTATACCATATTGCTTTTCTCTTGACTACATTTCTCTTGAATAAGGAATCTTCAAACTAAATAAAATCATCATCACACCTCCTACCTACCCCTTCTTCTAACAGTGATTCCAAAATCTAATTCTGAAGGTGCTTCAAATTATTTCACAGGCTGTCAATAAATTCTCAAAATCAAGTGAATTTAAATTCCAATTAAAATTAAATTTTCCAAGAAATCTATCCCATAAACTATTCTACAAGAGTATGTACCACAGGAGTAGAGTGTACAAAACAAATATCAAAGAATAACGAGGTAAAGTAATTCCAAAGGAGAGATATATGTAGTAAAGCCTGAACTGACCCAAATTAACACAAGCTTAAGCTCCAGACAAGCTTAAGCCATTCTACCTCTTTCTTTGACTTCCATTGCCTCTGTCTGCCCCCTCTTTTATCCCAAAGCTGGGATTATCAAACATTTTATTGAAGTGTATGGTTGATTCCAAATTGTGGATTTCAATTGCAAACCAAAGATAAGAGTGTACCACATGTTAGAAACATATTTTTCTTAGCAACCACCACTGTGTAAGGCAACTGGAACCTGAGAACACTTGTCCCACGGGATGTTAAGAGGTTCCTAGAGTCAAATAAATTTGGGAAATACTGGGTTCATCAAAAACAAATGTTGCTTCAACTGTACAACTAATTTCTCATAGCCTTTTTGCAACCTATGGACTACCCAAGGGTGCAATATAGAATGAAGTGCTTCTCACATCAATCAAAGAATACATTTGGATTATTCGCATATGATGGAATTGATGCTTAGGTTATATAGTAGTTAGTCTCCAAAGATGATCTCCCTTTTTCCTCCCAGTGGATCAAGCCTCCCTGTATTTACGCTCCTGTGTAGTCAACTCCTACACTGAATAGTCTGGCTCTGTATATCCAACAGAATGAGGCAGAAGGGTTGGCTCCACGACTTCTGAAGCAAGGTAATAAAGAAATTTCCACCTAAGGATCTTGGAGTGCTCACTCTAGGGGAAGCCAGCCACCATATAAGAATTCTACCCTGAGACTACCATGCTGTGAGGAAGTCCAAGGTAGCCAAATAGAGAGGCAATGTAGAAAGAGAAAGATATCCAGCCAGCCCAAAGCCATTCTAGTCATCCTAGCCCAAGTGCCAGATTATGTGAGTGAGAAACCCTTTTGGATATTTCAGCCCAGCAGATGCCACATGAAGAAGAACCAAGAAACCCAACCAGCAGCCAGAATCCAGTCAAGTTGTCCCAGACATCTCCAGCTATTTGGGCCACCCTAGCCGAAGCCTCACACATCACGGAGCAGACAAGCCACTCCCACTGTGTCCTGCTCAAATTCCTGACACCAGTATTGTTTGCTTTATGCCACTAAATTCTAAGGTGTTTTGTTACACAACAACAGATAACCAGAATAAATTATAAAATAATGCAATAGCCATATATGCTGATAGGGTAGTAGCGTCTTCTGATGCTAATTTAATTAACAGGGATAGGGCTCAGAAGCTACAGCATTTTTAGGAATCCTGATGTCTCCTTGAAATTTGGGGGACAAAAATGATTAGGACTTTCCCTTCAAAATAGACACGATCTTATAGTAACCAAGCTTTTGAAGTAACTATTCAGCATCTATTCTGAGCTGACAAAGCTATCTATTAAATAAGAGTGGATTCTCCAGACTATACATGCTAAAACAATAAAGAGTTCTATTAGATGCTTGATCAAATTGCCTTTTACTGGTACTGATCAGAATTTTTTAAATGAGGGAAAAGAGACATGTTTATACATGTTCCAATAATTTAATATTTTGAGTTCATGTGTGGGAACATGACACTCGATATTTTTTAACATAGAAAAAGAAAATCTTGGTGGTTTTCAGGCATTTTGATGCTACTGACATTAGAAAGATGTCAAAATTTGAGCAATTAAAAAGAGATGTCAATAACTTAAATGCCAAAATACCTTTGTACCAAATCTTACTGATTCTTCTGGGATGTTTCCTGCATTTAGCCCTTTTCATTCCCACTTCAACCACCCCTTTTCAAGGCTTTCCCACTCCATTTCTTACCACTAAACAAGTCTTGATGCTATACTTCCTGCCTAAATTGTTAAATTACATCCTAATTTGTCTCCCAGGAGCAAATCTCTCCCTAACCTTTAAAAACTTTGAATCGATTAATCTAATCAAAACACTGTTTGATCATGAAATTCATCCGTAATATTAAACAATGAATCAAGTCAATCCCTTCTCCAAAATTTCCAGTGTTTCCCTACCACCCCTATTTTCCACAATCCTATCAATCACCCTACTAAACCTTCCACTCCAATCAATGTAATGTACCCTTAGAATCCTGAATATACGTTGCTTACTTCCTATTCTCCCCATTCTCCTTAATTAGAGAATCATCCCCTTCTCTTTGATTATCTGAATTCTTCATTAAACTTCCCTGGGTCACATCAACCCAAAGTCATATCTTTCTTCCTTGATTAAGTATCATAGTCTTCTAACTTAATCATATACTATCCAGGGCCTTAAAATCCTTTCTGGAAATAGGCAGAGTAGGAATAAATGAATGAATATGTACATACATACATACAAACATAAATAAAATGAATATACAACATTGCATTGTTATTTAACACTTACTTTAAATATGTCTCATTTCTTCTCTGAGATCAAAGACCACAAAGGAAATGTACCTCATACTTTTCACCTCACGTTCAGCACCCTGTCTATACATTCAGAAGACCTTCACACATTTTGTGCATTCCATAAATATTTACTGAGTGCCTATATTTATTAGGCACTAAGATAAAAGTGGAGATATGATGATAAATAAGATTTTTTCCCCTGTGCTCTAGGAGCTCATGCTCCTTCAGGAAAGGTAGATATGTAAACTTACTACAAATATAATGTGGTGTGTACAGTGATGGATGATAATTAGTCTTTGGGTGGCAAACATGATGTCTACACAGAAATTGAAATATAATGATGTACACCTGAAATTATATAATGTTATAAACCAATATTACATCAATAAAAAATAAAAATAAATTAATAATACTTTTTAAAAATAAATAAATAAAATGTGGTAAGTTCCACAATACAATTTGAACGAATAGCTAAAGGGCACAATTTGGTGAAAGACTATAAAGAGTCTTCTTACAAAATCGTCCTCATGTGTTAATTAGTACATCTGAGAATTATCAAGTAAACAGGCACACATGTAAACTTTGCAAATCTTTCCCATCATCTGAAATGCTCCTCCCTACCACCTGTACTTACAGCATTTCCATTCTTTAAGGACCAACACAGACTATATTTCCTCATTCATTCATTCATTCAAATATTTCCTGAAGACCTACTATATGCCAGGACAAGAATGAACAAAATGTAAAGGTTCCTGTCCTCAAGGAATTTATAGTTAAGCTTTCTCGAATCCAAGTCAGAATTAATCTCTTCCTCCTTTATTCTCTTACTGCATTTTGCCTGAATCTCCATTACCAAACTTATCAAAAACTTTAAGCAATCAATTAATGTTACATGAAATGGGCCAACTGTCATCCCTAGTACACTGTGGAATGTCTGAAAGATATAGACAGATATATATATAGATATATAAATACATATATATTGGTAAATACATATAAATATATATATATATATTTCCTGTCCCATGTAGATTATGGTCTACACAGTAGGTGAGTAATAAATATTTGATTACGCCAACGCCAACTAAAGCTGCAGAAAGTTTTGGCAAATACACGTTTGTTCTATAATCCTAATGCAAGAATATACCTATTTATGACAGAATAGAAACAGCATCCTCAGATTGCTCCTCTTTATCTAAATCAGAGAAGGCTAATAAAAAGAAAGATGAGGGAGGAACTCCACCTTACTTGGTCCAAACTGACACTCACATATGCTGGGATTTCCGAACTATGTGGTGAGGCAGGTTCCACCCACGCCCCAACTGGTACTATAGCCTGGTTCCTCTCAGCCAGCACTGCGAGCACGTCCTTGCTCTTCAGGGGGTCTAAAGCCAGGGGCAACCTTGTGGTATTTCCAGGCTTCTTGAGGGGGGCCACACTTCCCGGCATCTGTGACTCCTGGTTAGGAGAAAGGAAAAGCTTAAAATCTTCAAATGACCGCGTTAAAATCTCCGCCTCCTAACACATGAGCCACAGTCCCCTGAAAAGGAGAGGAGCCTTGGAGGAGGCAGTAGCCTGGCAGGGAATCGAAGAACAAGGATTCTGGAGGGGAAAGAAGGAAAGAGGAAAGAAGAGAAGTGGGAAGAAATAAAGAGGGAAGGAAAGGTTTAAAGACTGCCTTCTGGAAGGAATGGGGAAGACGGGGGAGAGAAAAAGGATCTGATTGAGAGAACGAAGACTGTACCCAGCGGTGGCACAGCGCGGTGGAGAAGGGACCGTGGCAGCCAGAGAGAAAGGGGGCTGGCAGGATGAGGGGTGGGAACCTGGGTCTGAGGCAGAGTCCAAATAATCGGTATCCGGTTATGGGGGGAAGCGCTGAATGGCGGGGAGTCCCGGGCCAGCTAGAGGCCTGTTTCTGAGGCCTCGAGGTCCCACTCCTGGTGAGACAGCTCGGGCCCAGCTCGCCACAAACTCAAACTACCCCCGATACCACAGTAACCGCCTCCAGTAAACGGCCACTTTCGGGTGAGCCGCCCTACCCAGCTCCGCCTCGCCCCGCCCCTCCGTAGCCTTGTATCCGCCTTTTCCGGGCTTGCGTCACCTCCCGGCGACTGGAAGGCTGAGGGGCGGGGCTTCGAACTCCGGAGATTCGTCACTTCCGCTTTTTGTCTGGCTGATGGGGCGGGAATTGTGAAGGCGCGGGGAACCGGGCGGGAAGCGGAGGGGGCGCGGTGCTGCTGGCTAACGGGCGAGCAGAGGTGTGGCCCGCCGACCGCGCCGTGATAGTCCCAGCTCTGAAACCATCCCAGATCCTTCAGGAACAGGGATACGTGGGGCTGAAGAGCTGACTAGCCTGGATCCCAGCTGAGGAAGCACGGGAAAAGGATGGAAGAAGGCGGGCCTGGCGGGGCTTCCTGGAGGAACAAACTAAGCCAACAATGAGTCATACTGATCGTCTGTATACTTCATTACGTTTACGTGCTATTTCATACATATTCTTATATTTGAACATCGCAGCCTCGTGAGTGGTCTCCCTTTCTGTTGGAAGCTCTGCTGTAATCCTGGGACACTTCATTATCCCTGTGAAATACTTATTCATTAGTTCATTTAACATAAAATTGAGCGCTTTTTATATATCAGTACTGTTCTAGGCACTGGAAATATATAGCAATGAACAATACAGACTAATATCCCTTGCTTATGGAATTCACAATATAATGAGGAGAAGTAACCAAATAAACATGAATAAGTAAATAAATGTGTCTGATGCTGATGAGTACTGTCGAGTAAAAGCAGAGAAAGAGGATAAAGAGTGTACTGGGGAGAGGGGAGATGAAATTTTAGATAGGAATGACTAGAGAAGGTTTCACTGAGGTACTTTTGAGCAAAGACTCCAATGCAGAGTTCCATGAGATAGTGGAACCAGCTACTGTAATCTTCAACAGAGAGTTTTATAAAAAAAAAAAAAAAGTGTTCCAGGTAGAGGGAACAGCAGGTACAGTGAATCCAAGATAGGCACATACCTGGCTGAGAAACAGCAAGGAGGCTAGTGTGACTGGTACAGAGTGAGAGGGAGAGAGTTGAGATAGGAGATCAAAAGTTAGGGAGAAGGCAATCATATAGAACCTTGTAAGCCACAGAAAGGCATTGAGATGGGGGAGCCACTGGAGAGTTTTGAACAAAGGAATGTCATAACGTGACTTAGATTTATAAAAGATCATTCTGGATGTTGTATTGAGACATACAATGTGGCAAGGGTATAAGCAAGTAGACCAATTAGGAGGCTATTCCAATAATCCTAATAGAAGATTATGATGTCTTGGATCAGGGACGTAGTGGTAGAAATGGTGAGAAGTAGATGGATTCTGGATATATTTGGGAGGCAGGACTTTTAGGACCTGTTGAAGCTTGAATGTGGTGTGTGTGTGTGTGTGTGTGTGTGAGAGAGAGAGAGAGAGAGAGAGAGAGAGAGAGAGAGAGAGAGGGAGGGAGAAGAGTCAAGGAAAATTCTAGTGATTTCATCCTGAGCAACTGACAGGATGGAGTTGCCATTTACCGAGATGGGGAAAATAGGGGAAGGAGTAGGTTGGGAGGGGGAAGATCAGGAGTTCAGTTTGAGACAGATTAAGTTTTATTTATCTAACTGACATCCAAGAAAGTAGTATGATAAAAGTGTCTGGAGTTCACAGGAGTGTTCTGCTCTAGAAATATAGATTTGCAGGTTGCTAGCCTAAGATTTAAAGCCCTGAGACTAAATGAAATCATCAAGGGACTGACTTATAGACAGATAAGAAGTCCAAGGATTGAGCCCTGGGGTATTCCAACACTGAAGAGGCTGAGAAGAGGAGGGGAATGCAAAGAGATTGGGAAGGATCAGCCAGTAAACTAAAGAAAACCAGGAGTGTGTGATACCTTGATAGCCAAGTGAAGAAAATGTTTCATTGAAAAGGACAGACCATCCATGTTAAAGCCTGCTGATAAGTCAAATAAGATGAGGACTGAGAATTGACTATTGGATTTAGTAATGTGGAGGTCATCGATGACTTTTAAAAGAGCAGTGCTTTTGGAGTAGTTAGAGAGCAAAATCCTGCTTGAGGTAGACTTAAAAGAGAGGGGGAGGAGGAATTGGAATCAGCAATTTTAGACAATTCTTTCAATGGGTTTTGTTGTAAAGGGACACAGAAATGGGTAGCTGAAAGGAGAGGTAGAATCATAGGAGGGTTCTTTTCTTTAAGATTGCAGCACATGTTTTTTTGGTTGGGAATTATCCAGTAGACAGGAGAAAACTGACATGCAGGAGAGAGATGGGAGAATTTTTGCATCTATGTTCTTAAGTGGGCAAGATGGAATGGGATCTAGTGAACAAGTGGAGAGATTGGCCTTAGATATGAGGGATGGTTCACTATAACAATAACAGTGAAAATACAGTATATACTGGTAATTGGATAATATGGTGATGGGAGCTTGTGGAAGTTCTCTTCTGATTGTTCTGTTTTCTCCATAAAATAGTATTGTAGCCAGCTTGTGTGGCCTCTGATGATCCCTACCTCTTGGTATGCACACCCTCGTATAGTCCCCTTTCACACTGTACCAGGGTTGGTCTGTGTGACCAATAGAATATGGCAGAAGTGATGGTATGTCACTTCAGATATTAGGTTATAAGAGATGCTGTTTTCTTGCTCTCACTCTCATTCTGTCGCTCTCTCACTCTCTCACTCTTGCTCTTATTCTCACTCTCTTTCAGATCACTTGCTCTGGGGGAAGCCATTTATGTCACGAGCAGCCCTATAAAAAGGCCCACATGGCAAGGTACTGAAGGCTCCTGCCAACAACCCTGTGAATGATCTTGAAAGTGGATCCTCCAGCCCCAATGAAGTCTTCAGACACTGTAGTCTTGACCAACAACTTCACTGCAACCTCATAAGAGACCTTGAGCCAGACTATCCAGCTAGAAACTGTCAATAATGATTGTTGTTTTAAGGTGCTAAATTTTGGGGTAATTTGTTACACAAAAACAAATAACAATACAAATAGGAAGCAAGTTCATCAATTAATAAAATAGAGGAAGAGATGTTAGAGGTTTGAGGAAGGAAGATAAGGTATAAAATAGTTGCCCAAAAGAGTGGAAGTAAGAACTAGAGACATGTACAATTGCCAGATGGCCTTAAGGACTCATGTGAGGTTCATCGTTATGAATTTAAAGGGAGACTAGTCAGCATGGTTGAGTGTTTTTCTTCAGTTGCATAATTATAGGCATAAGGTAGGGGGAAATTTTAATTTTAACCAGGGTTGACGTTTTACCAAAATATTACTATCAAGCAAGAAACGGGCAAGGGAGTTAAAGATTAGTGCAAGGGAGTAAATAAATGACTGACCATGGAATTTAAAATAGGTAATGTGGGAAGGGAGGACAAGAGGGAGGCAAGGGATGTTGTAAAGAAGGTAAGATCAAGAGACTGTAGGTTCCGGGGGGGGTCTAAGGCTTATTAGAGCAGGATACTAGAAAGAATGCACTGAAAAGATAAGAGGTGGTGATCCGAGAGTGGGATGCTTGAAACAGAGTATGGAGGGGCTGCAGATATTGGTATTGACAAAGTCTCTGGTACGACCAAGGGAGGGAGTGCTGAGGTGGGTTAAAGAACAAAATCACAGAAGAAGAGGTCATAGAAATGAGGGGCCAGAGCACTGGATGGATTATTCCTGAGGTTATTGAAATCACCAAAATATATGATAAGAACAGTGTTGGCGAGAGCCAGGAGCAACAATCTTTAAGGAATTTTGGGAAAAGATCTGGAGGTTGGTAGATGAGTATAACTTGGAAAGCAGTGAGTGGTATAGTCTAACAACGTTAGATTCAAAGCGAGGGTGAAGCTAAGAAAAAGGAGGGAAAATGGTTTATAAATAGTACTGAGAAACCAAGAGGCAAGGAGGAAGCCTATCCCACCTCCCCCCAGAGGGTGAGGAACAGAAAACAGCCACCACTTGAGAGGACCAGAGAGAGGTTGATTTGTACATCCCCACACACAGACACCCCAACGCTGAGCAGAAATGTTATTAGGTAGCTCCTTGCTCTCTTTAACCCTGTAGCTCAAGGTCTGTGCCTCCCATGAGCGTCTGTGCCAGTGGTTCCATACGAATCCATACTCTCATTATGTCCAGAGAGCTCACCTCTTGGGCTCTATTCCCATTTTCTGACCTTATCACAAGGGTTATCTTCTATATTGCCAGAGTTAGTTTCTCAGCAAAGAAACTATTCGCTTAGAAATGTCTATCTTCTTCAGAAACTTAAAAGAATGGATGTTGCTGGCATCAGAGTCTTGAGGCTGTGTTCCAGAGAACTCCTCATCAGAGCTGGATAATCTCTGATGTGTGTGGCTGGGGGATCCCTGGCCATCTCTGCATGAAGCCCTGAGTCACTGGGTCCTTGGCACAGGTCCATTCTACACAGAACTGGTTGTTTGATGAGCACCAGGGGGCAATTTGCTTTTTGGTCACCACTATCCTTTTTATGGCCCACTGACCCACGCCTGTAACAAATTAGAAAACTTGGTCACCTGTTGGTCCTAAGGGCCTATACTAAGGACACCCTCTCTAGAGGTGGAAAACCACCTGCCTACTTCCATGCTCCTGGGATCTAGATGTTGAGAACTAAGCCTCAGGCAGCTGCGTCATACCCACTTTCACTCTCTCCCAAATTCAAGCAGGATTTCCCTGGGCTAACCAATGTTCTGGGCTATTTCCTGAAAGTAGACCATAGCACTGTCCTCTTTTGTTCTTCCTCCTCCTTATCCATCTCTCAAAATAACCTTTCTAACTGGAATAATTGGTGAGGGTCCTTCAGCTTGCCTATGCAGTCCAGGTTTTTGCAGCAGCATTTCATTGTAAATGGCAGCAATAGCAGATTGCTCCAGTCAAGCCCAGTTTCAAGAGCCTCTGCTGTACTGATCTTTGCAAAAGCTTCTCTGATTTTATCATGGGTGCAGAAGTCTTTTCTCCTTTCTCTTGGTGGGTGATAAAAAAATTAA